TGAAGTGATGACACCATATAGCGCAGACTCCTCTGGGGAAGCAATATCCAACCGTGTCTAAATGTATGCCGGTATCTGCGGCTGGACGCATACCAGCACAAACAACACCACGCCAACACCATTGGATATCGGTTCTGTATCATCGAAGGGCGGATCGGGCAAGACAAATATCATTGAAGAGCGGATCGGGAAAGACAACCAGGGGGCATAGCAAGCTGCAACACATATAGCCACTTGGACAAGATCATCCTGGAAAGACATTCTCACATATAGCATTGCAACACAAAACACCTGAAAGTAATAGGCAATACTCTCTTCGAACATGTGGCCGACCCCAGGATACAGAAGAAGGATTGGTAGACGCTTCTGAACTAGCAGACACTATGGTGGATGATTCTGAATTAATTGATTGGAGCCCTCCACCAGACGGAGCACGTTTGTCAATTGAGTCCTGCAAAACATGCTCCTGCATCATGGGAAGGGAGCCCATAACACACACACACGAAGAAACATCATGCAAAGTGACACGCCTCTGGGTGAAGCGAGCTGCGGGCACAGACAACGTGCAGCCCGAACTGCGACATGCACGATGGGCCAATGACACAGCGCTGGGTATCCTGAAGCCGTCTTGGGAGCATCCTGGCCTTACTCGGGAGTCTCTCAGAGCAGTGTGTGAGGCCGTCACGGGGGCCCCGTGGGCTGTCGTGGGGCTCTCTTGGGCCGTCTGGGGTCCCTCTGGGCAGTCTTGGGGCCATCCGGGGGATGTGTCCTTTGTCTTCATCCTCCTCCTCTTCCGCCTCAAACCGTGGTTCGGCCTCATTCTCCGCTTCCAGCCGTCTTTGGACCGTCTTGGAGCTGGTGGACACATGCTGGAGGGTCTGCGTTGAGAACTTGGAAAATAATTTGGAAGTCGTCTCAGGGGCCTCCCGACCTGTCTTGGCATCTCCTGGAGCCGTTCTCGGGCCATCGCTGGGATGTCTTGGGGCCCCCTTGGGCGATCTTGAGCCCCTCTGGGCCACCTTGGGGCCCCTTTGGGCCGTCTTGAGATCCTCCAGGGCCCCTGTTGGGGCGTCTTGGCGCCCTCGTGGGCCGTCTTGGGCCTATCTTGGGTGCCGCCGTGGCCTCTCTTGTGCCCCCGTTGGGGTACTTTTGAAGCAGCTTGGCGCGAGTTTGGAAGCTTAGTAGGCCGTGCAGAGCCGAAACGGCGAGCACGCGGAAAATTAAGCACGAAAACCTGCGGAAAACAGTCTTGGTCGTGACTTGGGCCGACTTGATGCTCTCTTGGCTCGACTCGGGGCCATCTGGGACCGTCTTGGTGGAGATCTCTTCTGTTCTTGCCATCACTGGGACGTCCGTTCCCTATGCATGTTGTCGGCGTTGTGCGCTTATATTTCGCAGGATGACCCAAGATGCTCCTCGATGGTCCCCGCCCAGAAACATGCACAAGCCCGAGAGATGCCGCGTGTCTTCTTAGGCCCGTCCTGGGCCGTCCTGGGGCCTGGGGCAGTCCTGGGCCGCCCTGGCCAGCCCCGGGCCCCCCCACAGGGGCTCGGCCAAACCCCCTTGTCCCCTGGGTGAGCCGTCGAGGCACCAGCCGGGGGCCCCTGGGCCCAGGCACCCCGCTGTTTTGCTTTATTTCGTTGGCTCAAGGGTGAAGCGACCAAACTGCCTCGCCTGCCAGGCACTCGGCACTGCCTGGGCAGGCACCCCGTTGTGTGGCCATGAATGTCATGGCTCGTTGAGCCTCGCCCTGCCCATCAAGACGGCGAGAAGGCGTGCGCTTCGCGGACTCGGTCGTCGCGCTGGAGACGTGGGGCGTACTGATCCCCCGGCCAGGCTTGTTCGAGGAGCCGGTGTGAGGAACCAACGAGGGGGTAACTTGGCGATCGGGCCGCTTCGCTCATTGGGGGCGGGAGCTCCCTCCGGCTTGCCGCCACGCCTGCTCGGCAGCCCGCCGCCTCGCCGCTGGTGTGTTTCGGGTCGGGCGAAAGGGGGGGATAGCAACGGGGGGGTTTGAGAATCAGCTCAAGTAGCTGATTTTCCTGGCGCCTCCCGGCGCCGGATGGAGCTATGTATCGAGGAATGGGCCCTCGGTGAGGCCGAAACCCGGTGCATGCAGCGAATTTCGTAACCCCCCTTTCCCCATCCCCCCTTTCGTCCGGCCCGTGTGCTTCCTCGAGCCTCCCTTCCCTACCTCCTCCCCCTCCTCCCTCCTCCCTCCTCCCTCCTCCCTCCTCCCACCTCCGTCCTCCCTCCTCCCTCGTCCCTCCTCCTCCCTCCTCCCCTCCCTCCTCCCTCCCTCCTCCCTCCTCCCTCCTCCCTCCTCCCTCCTCCTCCTCCCTCCTCCCTCCTCCGTCCTCCCTCCTCCCTCCTCCCTCCTCCCTCCTCCCTCCTCCCTCCTCCCTCCTCCCTCCTCCCCCTTCCCCCCCCCCTCGCCGCCTCCCCGTCTCCTCTGCCCTGCGCGCTGGGTCGGCAGGCCCACGGAGGCCCTCCTCCCCGCCCTGCCCGCCGGCCCTCCACCGTCCGGGGAGGCCCTCGCAGCCACCGTGTGCTGCCATCAGGAGCGCCAGAGCAGCAACGGAGGGGGACGAGGGTGAGGAGGAGGAGGAGGAGGAGGAGGAGGAGGAGGAGGAGGAGGAGGAGGAGGAGGAGCAGAAGCAGGAGGAGGAGGAGGAGGAGGAGGAGGAGGAGGGGCCTCTCTTTCTCCGGGGCTGCGGCGAGCCTCGGCCACGAAGGGGCTCCCCCAAAAGGAGCTCGGAGACCCCGAGCCCAAGAGCGTGTCCATCCCTTGGGGGCGCATGTTCTGCTTCCGCCGCCCCCCGCCGCCTTATGCGCCAGCGGAGGCGGCCTCGTTCTACTTCCGCCGACCTTCCCCCGCCCTTCCGCCGCCCTTCCGCCGTCTTCCGCCGAGGAAGAGATGACAACTCCTTCGACCCTGGAAGGCAAGGCCCTTTTTGGAGCGCCCCAAGTGGGCTGGAGGAGCGGCCCGAAAACCAGACCCCCCTCCCGAGCCTAGTTAAGTCGTCCTTCTCTCCGGCGCCTGGGCTGCAGCTGCCCGACCCTCGAGGGCAAGGCGCGCCCCAGCCCAGGCGGGGCCTCGGACCGCTCCGCCGGCCTGCTCCGCGTGGCCTCGGAAGGCCGCGCAGGTCGGGCCGCCGCGCCGCCGCGGAGGTGCCCCGCCTCCGCCGCCGCCGCGGCGGCCTGCGCCGTCGTGCCCCCGGAGGGAGCGGCCCGGGGCCTCGGAGGGCCCCGGGGGCAGAGGGCCCGAGCTCGCGGAGGAGGAGACGCACGGGCGCACGCGGTCGGAGCTCTGCGCGGGGTTCCTTGGATCGGCGCGGGGACCCCCTCGGCGCGTCCCGCGCGCCAGGGGGGTCCAGCCCCGACCCAAGAAGTCCCCGCGCGGAGATTCGAACCTTCCCGTCGGTGCTCCTTCGGCAACCGATCAGGCTCTTTCTCCCACCACGACCACAATGGCGACATCAAAACAAAGCCAGTCGGTAAGCAATCCTACCACCAGGCAATTCTCGCCCGTTCTGGTGGATCGCCGCCCCGCCTTCTCAGGGGAGCAACGATAGGGGGGGACTGGCACAGGGGGGACGCATCCACCTGGAACGGCGATGCATCGCCGATAGATCGGCGATGGGTGGGCCCGAGATAATGAATCCCCACGTTCATGGGCGGGGTGGGGCTACACCTCTGCTTAGAAGTAAGAAAAATCTAGGCTAAAAAAATCGGCATCACTCTAAACGAGGTCTTAAACTGTAGTCCAGGTCCAGATCTACAAGAACACTCTTCGCAATAATAAGCTCCAAGAAATCCAGATTCTGGATTTCTCTGGCGAGATCTGGAGCCCACCAAAGTTTACGTTTTTTTTATTGAGCTTTCTTATCGGTGTATCAGACCCCATCGGCGATCAATAGGCGATTGGGAGCCGATGCATCCCCCCTATGCCACTCCCACCCTGTCGTTGCTCCCGACCATGAGGGGGAAAAACAGCCGAAGCCCGGCTGCACCAGCGGCCCTCTCTGAAGCAGCCAGGGAAGTCTTGCGAGAGACCTGCCGGCAGGGGGGGGAATACCAGCGCGGGGGGATCGAGAACTTCGTAAGGAAAAAAAAGCCGTCGAGCAACGCTCAGGCGTTGGCTCTCATTCCACTTCCGTTCCGCCTCGGTTCGGAGACGCTCAGCACGGGCCTGGGGGCGCGACCAACCCTCGCGGGGAGCCACTGTCGCGAAAAGGCCCCAACAGGCTGTCTGAGGGGGCAGCACCAGGAGGCAAAGCACGGCCAGGAACCCTTCTGGCGGCGCGCGCAAGGGGGATAAGGGGGAGGGGGGAAGGCTTCTCAGAAGGAGGCTGCTTCTCAGACGGCGCGGGCCTTGTCTACAGATGTAAGGCCAGCGCCTTCCACGAAGCAGCCTCCTCCTGGGAAGTATCCCCCCTGCCCCTACACTAGAGGCCTCCTGGATGGGGTCCGAGTAGATGTGGTCGGAGGATCTCGCCGCATCGCCGATACATCGGTGATGCATCGCCGATGCATCGGCGATGCATCGCCCGTGCACTGGCGACGTCGGCGATGCATCGGCGACGTCGGCGTGGAGAACATTGGGCCCCACATCGAGCCGCACCGCCGATGCATCGCCGATGCACTGGCGATGCGGCGCGATCCTCCGACCCCATCTACTCCGACCCCATCCAGGAGGCCTGGACACACCGCCCACCCCTGCGCGTGGCCGACCCCTGCTCCGCGTGCCGCGGCGGCGGCCCCCGCGGCGCGCCGTGCCCCGAGGGCGCGGCGGCACGTTTGCATCCCCAGGCCGCAGCCCGCGGGCGGGGAAGCGCGGGCGCCGGAGGCCCGTCGGCGCTCGGGGCGCCGCCGGCGTGGAGGGCCAACGACGGGGGGGGGGGGGACTGGCGCAGGGGGGGCGGGAGGGCATCGACCCTGAACCGACGATGCGTCGCCGAGAGATCGGCGATGGGCTCTCCATGGCGAGCCCGCACGCTCCCGGGGCGGGGCGGGCCACCGGGTCCACCTCGGCGAGGCACGGGCGGTGGGGGGTCGCTGCGCCCCCCCCCTGGGGGCCTATCTAACCCCTGGCGTTGCCCCCGAGGCGTGCCGCGCCGCGGCCCGGCGGGCCAGAGCCCACGCGCGGGGCGAGCGGTTCCCTGGCCGTGCCGAGGCGGCGCCCGCGAGCGGGGAGGGGGGGGGCTCGCTCGCGGCTAGGCGGAGGCACCCGCCCTGCTCATCTCCACGAGGCTGCCCCGCTCGCCCGCCTGGACCGCGTGGTGCCGCTGGCGCAGCCACACCGCCGCCGCGGCCAGGACGCAGACGACGGCGGCCGCGAGCACCACGTTGGGCCAGCTCCACCCCGAGCCTGGCCCCTCGGCCAGGGTCACTCGCTTCAGCGTCACCTGATGGGGAGGGAGGCGGGCCTCGCGCAAGCTGACATGGCGCGACCCTCCGCCGCGGCTCACGCGGGCCGCCAGAGCGGCGCACCGCGCGGAGCAGAGGGCGCTCGCGCGCGAAGCTGCGCGGAGAGCTCACGCGCGAGTGTCCGCGCAATCGGCCCCGGCTTCTTCCGTCGCTCGCCTTGATCCCGTTCGGGGCCGCCTCCCTCGCGGCGGGGACGGCCAGGAGTTTGACGAGGATCCGGCCGTCCACCTGGAGGCTCTCCCTCTCCTCGGGGGCGCGCCGCGGGGGGTGTGCTGGCGAGGGCGGCGGCCTTCTAAGAGGAAGGCAGGGGACATTCTCATAGGCCCGCGCGCAGTCTGGTAGGAACCTCCGTAGAGGCCTTCTGGATGGGGTCCGAGGGTCGCGCCACATCGCCGAGGCATCGCCGATGCATCGACGATACATCGGCGATGCCTCGGCGACGACGGTGCTGCATCGGCGCCGTCGGCGTGGAGAAAATCGGGCTCCACATCGAGCGGCATCGGCGATGCATCGGCGACGCGGCGCGATCCTCCGACCCAATATACTCGGACCCTAGCTGGGAGGCCTAGACTCCTGGAAGCCCCAGATCGCTGCTGATAAGCCCCCATGCCGACTCGGAAGACCGACCCACATACACAGCCGTGACACAGTTTCTTCAATCTGCTATGGCAAAGTGTATCCCATCCCTGTTTATATTCCTGACAACAGGATGATGGCGTCATTCGGCGGAGTAGTTTCCGATCCGCCTTATGCTTATAACTCGGTTGCACCAAAAGCAGATCGGAAACTACTACGCGCCACACCCTAGAAAGTTTCGAGCAGAATGCGCCCGTGCGCGGAGAAGTTGGAGCACGTTTACTTCCAACTACTCCGCCCTGATGCGCTATTGGCGAAGACAGATTGGAAGAAACTTTCGGCACGGTGATGTACCAAGCCTTGCCCTCGATCCACGCGAAGTCGAGCGGGGAGGTTCCCTCCCGTGCTTAGACCCCGCCGGGGCCTCGATCGGAGGCCTCTGAAGGCCCCGGGGGACCTCTGGGGGACCTCCGGCCCAGGGGCGTGCCCAACGCTTACCAGCCTACCGTCGCCCCACCCAGAACATTGGATACCGGACTATCTCGGTCGCGATCGGTAGCACCCGATCGACACTCCAACTCGGTCGCGACCGATTCCAAAATCGGTCGCGACGGATCGCGTCCGGTCGCGGCCGATCGGTCGCGACCGATGTTGAAGCCAATCGGTGGCGACCGACACTGGAATTTGCAGCAACATCGGTAGCGACCGATCTCGTCGGCCGCGATGAGAAAGCTCTGGCGTCCGATGATGAAGGTTATGTCGGGCGTGTCCCCCTACAGGGGGATTTCCGACGAAAAAATGAAAATACCCCAAAAATGTTTCAAAAAGGCAAAAAAAATTGAAAAAATACTCCCCAGACTATTTTTGGAGTATTTGTTGATTATTTGTAGGGATTGTTTTTATTTTTCGTCGAAAATCCCCCTGTAGGGGGACAGGCCCGACATAAGATTAAGGGAGGGTTCACGCTTGGGCCTCGGGCCAGGATGGCTGCGGGGTGGTCGTGGCAGCGGCAGCGGCGGGGCTGGCGGCAGTGGCACGCTGACATCACATCGTCGCGTCGAGGGGGACAAAACACGACTGGAAGTTCTCTGGGTCCGACACATTCTCGCGGGAAATTCTGGCATCCGATGATCAGGGCATTCCTCTTTCTCGCGCGCCACCAGGCTCCAGCTTGCCCTTGATGTCCCTGCTGTCCCGGTCCTCTGGGATGGCCGACAAGGGGATGGTCGCCTCCACGTCAACCTCCTCCTCCGACGAGGCCCTGGCGCGAGGCCATCTGTGACACCCACTGGTAAACTCCTCCCCCGCGTCCCCCTCTTCCCCATCTGTTTCCTCCCTCTTCCCTCTCTCCCCCTCCTCCTCCTCCTCCTCCTCCTCCTCCTCCTCCTCCTCCTCCTCCTCCTCCTCCTCATCCTCTCCCTCTTCCTCTTCATCTTCCTCGTTCTCTTCATCCTCTTCCTCATCCTTATCCTTATCCTCTCACCATCACCAGCACCCTCACCATCGTTCTCCTCCTCCTCCTCCTCATCATCACCAGCATCAGCATCAGCATCAGCATCAGCATCAGCATCAGCATCATCATCAGCATCATCATCATCATCATCATCATCATCATCATCATCATCATCATCATCATCATCAGTACCAACATCATCAGCATCATCGTCATCGTCATCGTCATCGTCATCGTCATCGTCATCGTCATCGTCATCATCCTTATCTTCCTCCTCATCCTCCTCCTCCGCCGCCTCCTCCTCCTCCTCCCTCTCCTATTCCTCCTCCCTCTCGTCCTCCTCCTCCTCCCGCATACCCCTGCCCCCTGGTTACGCTCCCCATCCATCCTCCTCCTCCATCCTCCCTCCTCGCTCCTCCTCCCTCCTCCCTCCCCCATACCTCCTCCTCCCCCCTTTTGGGAGGAGGCGGGGGGCGAAAGGCGGGAGGCAACGGCGAAGGGCGAAACCCTCGACGAGGGGCGAAGCCCTATCGCGTCGACGGCGGCCGCGACGGTGGGCCCCGCGCCTCTCGATCGAGACCTCGATCTCGGCGCCCTCCACGAGGGGCGCCGCCTCGCGGCTCAGCACATCCTGCGCGCGGGGCCGCCGGGCCGCGGGCCCCCCGGCTCTCGGTGGGGGGACGGCGTGGACACGTTGCGAGCGGGGCGCGGCCAGCGAAAGCGGCCAAGGATGGGCCAGGGGGGAAGGATGCCAGGGTGAGCTTGTAAAATCCCTCATCCTTCCGATGTGGGTTGAGTGTATACCATGTCGTGGTAAAGAAAGTTACTGCAACTGGCCCCGAAGGGCCTGCTCAATTCGCTGAATTGTATCGGCCAAAACGCCTGCTCAAGTGGTGACAGGCAAGCCACTCGATGGGGAGCCAGCTGCTGAGAACATGGTTTCTACAGCTCACGCGTGGAAGCATGAGCATAAAGTAGGGGGGAGGAGGACGGAGGGGGGACGACCAGGTGGCGACATCCGAACCCGAACCCCCACCAACCAACGACTTTCCTGAATTGATGGGAGGCGGGGGTAGGGTTCGGATATCGCCACTTCTTCGACGAATTCCGAACCCTACTCCCGCCACCCATCCTGTTGCCTAAATGGTTCGTTCATCGGCGGGGGTGGGTTTCGGATTTCGCCGCCGAGCGACTGGTCTTGGGCAAGATCAATCAGAATCGAATCGGGAAACCAAAGCGAATCGGAACGTGCACCGGCCCGGGCCGCACTGGCACGGAGCCAGAATCGAATCGGATCGGCCGCAGCAGGACGCGAACAGCGCCATGCAGGCATCGGGCCGCACCGGATCATCGGAAGATCTGAATCGAATCGAATATAGCTGGCCAGAACCGATATCAACCTGGATCCATCGGATCGAAATTGACCCTGCTTGGGGGCCCCGCCTGGGCTTCAGTCAACGCGCTACCATGAGGATCGCTGGGTCTGGAACGAGAGGGCTTGTCTGGCCACGGCGAGCCTCGGCCACGAATAAGTGAGCCAACGCTGCGGAGCGGCCCCAAAAACCAGAGCACCTCTGGAGCACAGGAAGACCCCGTATCTAATTAGCTCGACAACATCGCGAGGGGAGAAGGATATTTGGTGTTGGGCTCCACCATGGACAATCTAACGATGCCCCCGGGGGCCCCGGGGCGATCAGAAAGAAGACCCGGTGCCGACTCCAAGGACGAGGATGAGGATTTCTGGGTTGCGGCTCGGCGGGGCCAACAGAACACGAACTTGCCCTCGGGACACCCGAGGCCGACTCCGACAAAAGACCGACCGAGGGAAACTGAAGACTGCAAGCGAGGGCAAGACAGACTGAGAAAGTGGGGAGGCGGGCCTCCACCTGGCAGGACATCCCGGGAAGCAACCACCTGGGGACAGGCGGCGTCTTCACCGCGCGAAGGCCCGCGATCCCTGCGCTTCCTCGGATCGCAATTCACTAAGCGTGCAAGATTCGTCTATAGTGGTAAGATGGGAGAACAGCTGGAGTCCAGCCAAAAACACCACCACCCGCCAGGCGGAGAGACTAGGCAGACGAGAGCGCATCACTTCGAGTAGAACAGAACATTGGAGATAAGGATGAAGCTGCCCCCCCCCCCCCCGTACATTGGCGCCCGAACCTGCGCCCCAACGCGGGCTGGCGCAAATCCGAGAGGTGCTCCACACATAACGGATGCTGCGCAGCAGGCTCAACTGTTGTAAAGGAGCAGTAGGCTAAACCCACCCCCCCACCCAGACAGAGCGTCAAGCACCACTTCCCACGGCTCGCCTCCCCAGGAAGACGTTCGCCCCCCATGCAGGACTCGGCTGCGCAGAAACGCCCAGGCAGACTTGGGCGGGAACGCGTCTTGAATCGGGCGGGCCGTGTTCTTCTGAAGCCCAGACCCTGGGCTCGAGCATCCTGGGAGCTCGGGGGACCCTCGACAACTCATGGTCGTTCTGGTTCATCGCAGCGACGAAAGGATCGCGATAAACTGGACGAAGCACGACATCAACGCGCGCTTCTCCATCGTCGCGGGCGCCCTCCAGCTTCTCGACGCAAGCAGAGACCACCGGCTATGCGAGAACAGCGCGATATGCAGCATCTTTTGCTTCGCACCGAAAGGAGCGAGCAGGCATGCGAATATTCCCGACCACCGCCAGATTGGACAGCACACCATCAGGGAGAGCATGCAGGGGGAGCACGCGTCAGACTCTGAAGCCCACGGTGCACCTGCCATTCAACGTCGGCCGCCAGAGGAAGAATTGCCCAACGGATATTAACGCTGCGACCGCGATCTGGTGAAAAGCCTTCAGCGACAGCGTGAAGCCCTGCTTCGAAGACTCGGCAAACAGGCAACTACCCCTAAACTTCAAGACGGGTTCAGCCGAGGACACCGCCTGGGATTTCACGCCGCACTCAATGGCGAAATACCCCGCGCATCTTGCCATCCCTAACTGCGGAACACTCCCGCGGGCAGCCCGAAACCTCTGGATATCAACTGCCCTGTCAAATTCCCGATTAAAGAGAATGATGGTATTCTCCAGGAAGGAGCCAGGACAGCAGCGGAGGTGGTAAAGAGGACGACGCGCATCAATATAGGCAGCATCTCTGCGATGTTAGTAAAAGACGCGGGCTCGACGTCGTCGGCGAAACAGTGCAGATGAACAGGCCGCGGCAGCCTGAGACACAGAGCTCGCAATATTGGGTCCATCCCAAAGGCGAGCACCGAACCTCAATGCGGGCATCCTTGTATTGTTCCTCTCATGACGGCGAACGAACAGTGGGCGCCCCCTCCAGGCTGGTAGCAGCCCTGATATCAGAGTAGAGGGAACGAGTAGCCTGGACAATAAAGCCCAGCAGCTGCATCTGGGAAAGCACGAGAAGATCCACTCGCGGCACAAGCTCGGCACGGCGGCCCCGATGTCAAGCAGGCCGGCCCCAGCGATGCCTCGCCACTGAGCCCCTGCTCCGACGACAAAATGCGTTTCGAACTCAGTCATATCATCAAGCATTTTCCTACATTTCACGAAGCCCCTTTAGATCCCAGTGGCGGCGTCCACGCCGAGCTCCTTCAGGCGGCAGTTGATCGGGACGGGGTCGACTATGCTGATAGAGTTCGAGATTGAAACAGGCCGGGCGGTTGCAGGAATCCCCCAGAGCTCAGGCCCACCCCTATCCATGGAGGACTTGGAGAGGATACAGAATCGCTAGCATTATAGCCGTCGGGGGCCCCGCCGCAGTTCACGACGTGATCCGAAAAGCGCCCACCTGACAAACCGACCCCCCTGGGACCAGGCCGAATAGCAGAGCCCACCTGGGCCAGCAGCGGAGTCCCAAGGTTGGTCCAGAAGCTGATACAAAAGCCCTCCTCAAACACCCCCAAACCTCGACGCTCTGGAGCCGGCTGGACACGCTCAGCAAGCTGGCCCCGCGCAGCGGGCTCGCTGGGAATAGCAGCGCGGCAGCGAGAGCCCGAGCTCCAGCAGCGGCAGACGGCAGCGCATTGCCGTCGGAGTCCGCGAAGCAAGTTAAAGCGATCGTCGGCTTTGGGGGACCTAGCAGAACTCATGCCCTGAAGGCGTGCTGCACGGTGCTCGAGATATTGAGGTGGCGCTTTCGTGCTGAGACTCTGCTGGCGCAATCTGCGACATGTTTTCGTGAAGCCTATGGTGACCGTGCCAGCGACATGCAGCAGGATCCTGAACAGTCACGGAGGCGAGGCAAGGACTCTCCACCCTGAGTCAAAGTCCGAGACGCGCACGACCGCATAGATTCATTGACCGCAAACAACCACTGCAGGTGCTGCTCGGCAGCGCCAGGCGGCAGCGCAGACAACCGGCGCTGGACAAGACGCCTAACTTCGCGCATCACGCAAGTGAGCTCTTGAAGCACCATCGGAACGTCATCGCCTCGCATGCGCCGCGATCGTCTATTAGCTTGACTAGCACGACGGGGTACAGCAGGCGCCTCGAAACCCAAGATAGAAGCTTGCAGTTCCTGGAACCGCCCCCAAAAATTACGGCGTATATAGAACAGGGGCCTCACGGATATTCCTGAGGGGTCCCTGACGTCGCCTTTAGATCAAAGAGGTCACATGTAATCATATTGGTATAAGCCCGATCGAAAATGCAAACCCACCTTCCTGTCTCCGGCGGCATGGTGGGTCGGGTTTTCCTGAACACATTCACTCAGTGATCCCAGGTATCGGGGTCAAGAACCAGGATGCCAGAGAGCCAGGGAGATGTTGCTGGGCGTACCCGTCCAATATTTGGGCCCCTTCTCGAAGCTAGCAGAAGTTACAGTCCCCGACAAAAGTGGATGCCCCGGGCCCCCTTTAAAAACTCGGCGCGCTGGGTAGGAATGCGAATGCTCTCCCACTGGCGGCTCGCGGGGTCAAGGCGGATGTTGGGAATGGCGAGCTGAAGTGATGCAGACCTAAGAGCGAGAGTGAAGAGACGGCCAGCAATTACCCCAACAGGCGGACCAGCAGGAGGAACGGCGAGCATCAAACGAGCAACCATAATCACATTGACACATGCATCGAAAGACGGGAACTCCGTGCGCAGATTCTCTAGATCGCCTTCGTAACAGTGTGTTTCTTAAAGACAAATGATCTTGCTGGTTCTACTCAGTTGAGAGAGTCGGACCCAGGTCTGCTTCTGGACCTCGTGGTCACTAGAGACAGCCCCGAAAAATGTCTGACAGCTCCAGGTAACTGAACGCATCCTTCGGCCGTCCGACAGAGACGAAAAAACAGGCAGTGGGGGCTCACTGCGGTCCTCGAATGAAGGTTGCTGTATTCCTGGCGAATTGGTGGAGCCCTGAAATCCGACGTTGCCAAAAAAATGCAACGTCGACACAAATCGCAACTGGACCCCTGGACCCCGACTGTCTGCGCCATTTTTCGAACCAAATCGATATGTGAGGCCCCCGTGGCCCGAAATTGACCGAAAACGCCCGGCTCGAAAAAAATGAGTCGCCAGGATCTCAGGGAAATGCTCGGAGACCGGGAGCAAGGGGGCGAAACGCGGACAGAAAAGGCAGAGTGGCAGCAGTCGGGAGGGGGACGCCAGCTGCACGCGATGCTGGTCTGGCAGCCTCTCGG